AGTCTCAAATCTCTCTTATAACAATCTAAGAGACTTTTGTAATACCTAACTTAATCTTTCAAGGTTTTCGAAAGCTATTAAACCTTCAGTTTAACCACAAAACATCGCTAAAGTAGAGAACCGGCGAGTAGCGTAACAGCCAAATGTTCTGCTGATTATTCTGATTCTGGCGCCAGAAGGGTTAGCTCACCAATGCTTGAACTTCAAGTTATTGCGATGATTTATACACCAAAAGATTGCATTTTAACTTGGGGGAGTGCACAAGCAGTATAGTGTTTCACTAACTTCAAGACAACTCATCAAGCCAGGATAAAACTGCTGCCTTCATAACATTAAGATATTCATTGATATTATTTTAGAAAGAAGGGAAACAAGTAACTAAAAAAAAAAAAAATGATGATGTAGGAATGGTAATGCCAAAAAGTAGAGAAACAAAGTTGGGATGAATACACAAAACCATACACAACTCCATAGATAAGTAGCCACCGAGTCAATGTTGCAAACTTATGGAAATTAGCCATTATAAGACTTTATAGCATTATTCAGTTTAAATGTTTTATTGAAACCTAAATTCATGCAAATGAAAGGAATTCAGCATTTAGTTGTAAATAAATAATATTCTTATGTAGGGATTTTTGTATGTTTTTGTGTATTCATCCCTGCCTTGTTTCTATACTTTTTTGGCATTGCCATCCCTACATCATCCTTATTTTTTATTACTTGTATAATGTATAATTGGAATGCAAGAAAATTCTATAAATTTTACAATATAAATTGGTGTCCTTTCGGAAGATACTTTGCATAATAATTAGACCAAAGGTAGATATTTACCTTAATTTTCCTGGAAAGGAAAAATTTGTACTTATAATTATAAGTGATCAAATCTCTGACTCAGGCTAATTATTAGGAGGAGATACCAAAATAGCTTATTGTTTTCATACAATAAATTAGAAGACACCTCAAAACAATAACAAAGTGCATTTGTATTTGTACTAGATAAATTGACATAAAAACTGAGAACATCTACAACTGAAAACAGTCCACAATAAGGTTTCTGAAACATGTGTATCATACATATATCACCCATATTTTTACGTATCTTCGCATTTATGATATATGCATGCTTTCTATTTACATACACAAAAAGAAATGTCTCTGAACCCACGAACAAATTTGAGTTATAAAATACAAAGATTATGCTTAAAATTGGTGTTTTGTTCTTTGAGTTGAAAAATCTGAAAAATTATCTGTAAAATTGTAGTCATTGTCAGTAAATCTATTTACGCAGAAAGTGACTGTCTTACATATTACAAAGTCACGTCTTTAGCAATCTTCAATAAATCCTTCTCACAAAGAAGTCTCAAATTAATACTATGTTAAATTGTTAAATATCTATTGCTCTGATGTATATATATGTTGTTGTTTATACCCTCTTTCTCTGCTTTGAATATTATTATCTCTTGAAATCTACTCTATTCTGATGATATTATCAAATGTGGATGAACATCATACAACTTGAGATTTAATAAGTAAGCAAACAACGATTTATAAGCATAAGGAAAAAGTTTTATTCATGGTCTGTCTTCTTCAGGTATGATCAGTACTAAGCAATCCAAGGTTTATATATTGTTACAAAGACAGTAGGGATTAAATGTGACGGAAATGGTGTCAGCAGGTGACAGGATATAGGTAGAGGTCAAGTGAATAGACCTTGCCAGATATAACTGATGTTGGTGGGACCATTATCACGGTTTAGTGAGAGGTCATTTACTTGAATGATTTCTATAGTTTATAAACAGTCTTTCTTTCTTCTTTAGTTGGTGTAGGAGAAGAATTTCGTTCCAAAGTTTTTTGTGACCTGTTTCATATTGATGATATCTTAAGGTGGATAACTGATAATCACCTCAAGTCATGTGATCTTGGTGTTCTTTGCATCTTGTTTCTAAGGGACGTGACATTTGTCCTATATATTTCTTTCCACATTTACATGGGATACTGTATATGCTTTGTTTCTCAGCACAGGCTCAGTCCCTGGGACCGATCTCGTAACCATTTTGTGCTTGTTATAGTTTTCATGCTATAACTTTTAAAGTAGCAAGTGATTGTTATAGAAATTTGGCAGATTATCAATAAACATTACAATGCCTTCATATGCAAAATATAATTTTTTTAAATTAAATCTTAAGGTTTAAAAAG